GATTTGAAAATCGGGCGCTGATTTTGGGTAGGGATAGAGCTGAAGGTACTAGCCTCCAAATGGTATACTAGCCCGCTTCCCTATCCCTTTTGCTTTTCTGCCACTCCTCCATATGTCTCGGCACTTTTGAATGGGATGACCTAATATTCAGCATACTACGTCAGTCACCCGGGGCTGCTGCAGCTTCTCCGTTTAGAGCCGCTGGTGGGGCTAGGTAGTATTAAAAACATTCCAAACCAAGGAGGACCAACCTGATGTATGTCACAGACAGGAATAAACTGCTCCGCTGATTCAGAGCTCCCTGCACCTTCCTTGGAAGTCAATTTGAACCTAGAAAAGGAGCATTCGTAAGGCCGTGTTCATACCTAGGGGAGTTAGGCAATGGCGCAAGGAGGACCATAGGTATCGATCTGGCGACTGAGTCGGCGACTCGGCGTTGGGAGACTCAGCAATTCGAGAGATTGTCTGCTAAGAAGGGACTGGTTGCGTATCGAGCGGCGCCGATTGCCTCCACAATCTCTCACTAGCGGCAAGCGCCAATCGATACGTATCCACTCCTTCGGCGCGAAATGGACCGAAACGCCAAGCCACCTTTAATGCCTGATCACCGATTTCACCAGATCGATACCTTTACTTCCCTCGTCGCGCAATTTTTCGAATTGCCGAGCCTCCCAAAACACAGAATCTCCTCAGTGGCAAAGTATGAACGTGGCCAGAGAAAACGGAAATGAGAACTGCTTCAACAAAATGCTTAAGAAGTTAAAGATGTGGTGGAATGGATTGAAAAAGTCTTTACCTACCTATTCAACACTGGAAATACTTACTCCAAGATCAATTCACACATTGACGAAAGCGGGGGTGCAAGCACATGCATGCATTCCAAACGTTCACATTCTGATTCGGCGCGGTCACAACAATATTCGATGAGCACCCGCCAAAAGAACGCATACTGAGCTTGATCTGTTCTCGACAAGCTAAATAATAAATATTTGGTGTTAGGATAATATTGAAAATACATGTCAAAGACATGTTATTCAACGGAAAGGAAACAAAAGGACTCATATGCAGGCATCAAACAGAATTTCAAGTGTATTTTTTCAGTATCAATACCTACTGGACGTAGTACAGCCTCGTTCACTACGGATGAAGGGGGTTTCAGTGAGGATGAGTTTGGCGTGACGCCGAACCCCTTTTCCAACGGTTGTTAAAACTAGCAAGCGAGAAGATTGCATATCGATATCGGTCATCCCCCCCCCTCCCCAAATCTGTCACTACCCGCTTCAACAACTGGTGGAGGACGGATTCAGCGCGCGCCAAGTTTTCCCTGCCACCGCACCCATTCATACGCAGCGAACAAGAGTGTAAGCAGGAATGTCTCCTTCAAAATAAAATAAAATAAATCGCGTATTGATAAAAAGAACCATACCTTTTTCCAACAAATTCTGTGTTATGATGTGACAATTTTCAGGAAGTGTTGTCTTTACAGGAGCAAACGAAATAAGCTTAAACTCTATGGTGAAATGGTAGCTATGACGAATGACACATGAGTAGAAAGAGAAGGATTGGCGTGCTGTATACGGCTGAAAAATATAAGTTCTAGTATAACGTCAGGGAGCCACGAAAATTTTCCATCCGCAGGGTCCATCGCAAAATCGACATCCTAGCAGACTGGCTGCTGCTCAAGACCATATCATATTTTCTGGTTACATTACTGTGTTAGTTCTCCTCTGAATGAAAGGTGACATCATGTGAGTAGAATCACTTTAATGGGCCACGAACAGAACAGACCCTCTAGCGCTACGCGCTCGGACACGTCGAAGTTACAACTGGACCCGCGCAAGAGTTGCACTCATTCTGTTTAACTTCACAATGTTTCCCACAAGGTAGCAATCTAGTACCAGAACATCAGATTCAAGGAGTTTCTCGTAGTCACACTGTAGCAGACACTGGTCCACCCAACTCGGTATGCACCTTGCTGCCCCTCCCCCCTCTTTGAAATCTTGCGTGCTCACAATGAAATGTAACGGTTCCCGTCCTCATTCTCTTCAAAAGGATGCAAGACTGTCTCTAAGCAAGTCACTAGAAAACAGAAGGTCAAATACGACTCCTTCGAGGAACGCATGGCACTGTGAAGGTTCTGAAATGATAGATAACAAGGGATGTTGGGTAAATACGCTCAGCACGAAAGAATGTTCTGCCCCTGAGGAGGCGCTGTTCGGCGCCCTCATAGCGCCCCTTCAAGGCGCACATGCCGACCCAGACGCCCACCGCAACCGTCCGCCCACAAATGGCTGCACAGCCACATCAATGCTGATACTCTTATGGCCTCATTCACGAACTACAATCGATACGGAGCAGCTGTAGCGTCGCATGATACATAAGAAGCTACATATAGCGGTATCTATCAGAGCGGTTGTAGGCATAAGAACAATGGGAATTCGAATCTCGTATGAAGATGATTTTTGTCAGCCGTGTACACATCCAATGTCGTGCAGAACAATGGCTTTTTGCAGGTTTTTGTCCTTTCACACGCTTTTTTCGCCATATTTCGACTATATGGCTCTTGCTACCCTTTCAGGTGAGCATCACATCATCGTGCCTGATGCCTGCTAGTCCAGGGATAACTGGCGAAGCGGTTACAGAAATCCTTTGAAAATTTCATGCGATTGGCGCAAATGTGAAAAAAGTTGTAGTGAAAACCAACTGATCCTGATCTCAGGCACTGTTTCTTCCTCTGTGACGTGATCTCCCCTAGATCTTCTTTTGTTCGCTCGCTCCTGCACTCGATGAATGAAGGAAATCCATTCCGGAATCAACAAAGAGAATGCCGCGTCCATCACAGATGCTGCAAAGTAAAAGTGATCGTAAGGCTGTCATTCAGTACTGAAGACGAAGGGGACGTTACCATAAATTTGAATTAACCCATTTACGAAGGTCGACCAAATATGAAAGCTTGTCTTTCAATAAATATGTTAGGCTAAAGAACTAACGCTCATCAGTGAAAAGCACTCCTCGAAGCAAGTCCATTCGCTGCTGCTCTGTCATAAACGTTAACGGAAGCCGAGCCAACTGCCGTATGGCTGCGACACGAACCTAACAATAAAATCCACGAATAGAAAAGGAGCAGACTTTAGGAACAGAAAAGGTGAGCAGCGTTTTTAACTACCTTGCTGTTTGAATCACCAGAAGCAAGTTCGATGAGGTAATCTGCATGTGACTGCGTTACGACACGAAGAGCAAACACAGCGGTTAGTCGACAATCGGCAGCTACGTCGCGAAATCCCATCAAAATTACTACAAATACAGAGCATAGAACCTGGTAGGTTTACCTTCATCACAATGAAACTATGAAATTATAGCACCAATTGCGCTTGCGTTTAACAGTTGATGCGTGGAAAATGGAATGACATCATAGTTCTTCAGAATAGCTCTATTAGGCTTATGGGTAGGACTCCACAGGAAAGTATATAGATACAATGGCATACTTGCTGGCTTGCTTTGGGCTGCGTTCTGCTTAGCGACGTTCACCTGCGACCACCAGCGTTTCGAACGTCCGTCATCGCCAGCGACTAGGAGAGCATAGATGTCGATCTAGCGAACGCGAGCTTCCACCAGCGTCCACCGGCGTCCAATATTGGAGAGTATGGAGAAGTAGAAGAGAGCACACAACTGGTTTGGGCATCGTGAAGTTGCACTTGTGCAACCGCACCGTACAACTGTTAAAGCACAGAATTATGCAATTTAGTGAACGGTATTGGGTCGCGGTAGTGCACATGCCGCAATTTCACGACGACTAATCCAGCTGTCTGCTACCCTCCTACTTCCCCATACTCTCCGCTCCTGAACGCTACCGGAGGCCGGCGTAGGCAGATCGATATCTATGCTTCTCTGCTCGCTGGTGCTGACGGACGCTCGAAAAGTTGGTGTTCGCTGGTGGACGCTGCCGCAGAGTATGAACATAGTGCTACGGAACTCAATGAAGAAATTATCACTGTACAATTCTGAAACTGGCTTATTCTATGCAGTGACCAAAACTCGTCGGACACCTCTCAAAATGTGTGGGGTCGTGAGTTTGCTACCCTAGGAATGCGTCAAAAACGGATAGGAAAGAGGAGGGTAAGTAGACCAGTTACTTGAATTTGAAGAGGCAAGAATGTCGTGAGCAAGAATAGATTTAAAATCGAACAATTGAAAACCCACTATCTTTAGGGCTTCGATCAAGAGCTTCCACAAAATCGTTAGGAATTTCGTCATCCTGAATGTCTGCAACGGACTGGATAACTTCAGCGCGAACAGCAGTCATCTAAACAGACAATGAGACTGTGCGAAAGAAAGCTATGATGAATTTTCAAACCTTATCAAGTTGTCGTTCTAATAGGATGGAGTATAACTTCCGCTTGATATCAATAGGCATAGCTCTTTCTTCGACACTATTACTGCTAGTATCCTCTTTGAGTAAAAATCCCACTAATGTACAGACATTCTGCCGAACGGCAGCATCCTCGCAACAGGATAACTGAAAACGCTTTAAGAAATCAGCTGCTATGCTTAGGAAGTTTTAGCTCGCGTTTTCGCGTGCGTCTCCGCAAGCATGCTTTTCGGTGCACCTTAGAGCGCGTTCATACTTTGCGACCCGGTCGCTCAAGCGTTCCGATAGCAGGATTCAAGTGATGGATCGCGAATTATGAACGTGTTCTTACTACTAGATAATGGGTAAGTGTGGAAAAAATCACCCACAATCTCACAAAATTCCATCAAACAATCGATAAAATCGGGAACGCCTCTCTTCCACTGATTCACAGAGAATTTTGCTAGAAATCGGAAAAC